TTGGTGGAGTTATGTTCTGTTTTTATCCTTGGTTTGTTTCGAGATTTGTTTTGGTGTGGTGTGTCACTTTAGTTAGTTTTATTACTTTATTTAGAAAACACTTTTTTCAAAACCCCCCATCTTTTAATTTAGTTTATAGATTTTAGATAGTTGTTTTTACTCAATAAAAAGTGACAAAGTAAACCGATTTTCATAACCTGAAAAGCATCTTTCCTCGTGGGATCGACCCTTACTTATCCTATTTACATGTTTAATAAATATTATTTTAACAAGGAGGAACTAAGTAAAGGAAAATATTAAATTAATTTTTTAGGTTCTACGACACGTCTATCATCCTTACTCTATCACTGGCATAACTGGACATAACTCATTTATCACTTATATTGATGATTATTCTCGTTATATGTACTTGTATCTTATTAAGGAAAAATCTGAATCACTTACAACTTTTAAAGATTATAAAACTGAAGTTGAAAAACAACTTGACCATCAGATAAAAGTTGTAAGATCAGATAGAGGAGGTGAATATTATGGTAGACATACTGATGTGGGTCAAGCTCCTGGTCCATTTTATGAGTTTTGTAAGGGCCATGGGATCGTGAACCAAAATACTATGCCTGGTACTCCTGAGCAGAACGGTGTTGCTGAGAGAAGAAATAAGACTCTAATGGACATGGTACGCAGTATGTTAGCCAACTCAGGTTTACCTCTATTTCTCTGGACCAAGGCCTTAAAAGCAGCCGTTCATATACTCAATAGGATTCCTTCTAAAGCTATCCCTAAAACTCCTTATGAACTCTGGACAGGAAGGAAACCGAGTCTAAGATATATGAAAGTATGGGGGTGTCTTGCCAAAGCTAAACTTTATAATCCCTTCTTAAAGAAACTTGACATGAAAACTGTAACTTGCTACTTCATTGGTTATCCTTCTCACTCAAAGGGTTACAGATTTTATTGCCCTTCCCACGTCACTCGCATTGTAGAAACCAAAGATGCTCATTTCCTTGAAGATTTTAAGGTCAGTGGGAGCAATGAAAACCCTTATGATGAATTGCTAGAAGTACAAGACGCGGGGGGAGAGACTTGTCGATTACTTTACCTCCAATTACTCCTCTTGTACTCAATGCCAATCCGCAGAACACTGCACCACCTCCTACTCCTAATGTACCTGGAAATGAAGACACCTCAAATGATCACCATCAAGACAATGCTGCCAATGCTCAATCCGATAATTTGCTCAGGAGGTCATCTAGGTCTAAAAGGCCTACTAACTTTGATGATTATGTTACCTACCTGACTGAAGCAGAAATGGATGCTGGAAAGTTTACTAATCCTACCTCTTATAATGAAGCCATTAAGAGTGATCAGTCTTCTGAATGGAATAAAGCCATGATTGAAGATCTTGACTCCATGAAGAAAAATGATGTTTGGGATTTGGTTGAATTATCCAATGGTGTAAAACCCATAGGATGTAAATGGGTCTTCAAAACAAAACTGGACCCGAATGGAAACATTGAACGCTACAAAGCGAGATTGGTTGCAAAGGGCTACACTCAAAAAGAGGGAATTGACTATGAAGAGACCTTTTCTCCTGTCTCTCGAAAGGATTCCTTAAGGATCGTTATGGCCCTTGTAGCTCACTTTGACTTAGAGCTACATCAGATGGATGTCGAAACCGCTTTCCTTAATGGTGATTTGGATGAAGAAGTGTTCATGAAACTTGCTTACATTTAATAATAAAATTTCCTCATTGTTTTGTTTGTTTGTCTCTGAATGTGTCTGTGCATGCCTAAAGACATATAGACAACATTTATATACAAAATAATGTAATGGGCTTAATTGTCAATTTGATCCTTAGCTTATTTAAGTTTTAAATTTGGTATTGTAGTATGATTAATGGGGGTCTTGAATTGAATATCGATTCAATGACTGTATTTCTCTGCTACAGTTTCGGTTTAGAACTAAAATGAGTATTAAAATCTGATCACCCTTATCTAATACTCATTATAAATGATTACTCGGCCAAGTGGGAGAATGTTGGACACGATTTTGTTATGTGGCCTGAGTTATCATTTATCTAATTAATTGATCATTGACCTAATAAATACCCTACATATTTAATTGGTAATTATTCGATGGACGTAATTACCCTTATGACCTAATTAGGGTTTCCCCTTGGGTGTATATATAGAGGTCATTAGGCAGAGATCAGAACACACCAATCTTACGCCTCCTCTCCGCCTCTCTATTCTCGTGAGTCTCATCCTCACCTTAGCCATCATAACGATACACCCTAAACGGGAACTCAATCAGCATCAGCAACATGACCTCATCCCTAACTACGTTTACAGGATTATCAGGTACACATAATTTATTTCCTGATTTATATTTTATGTTTAAGAATTGATCAACATAAAATTCTCCAAAGATCGATGGGCACCTTGCCTTGGTGCCTATCTTCTTGCTACCGGGCCGTGGCAAGCCGAAGAACATCGACATCGTTCATCCCGCTCTTCCGGGAACGAGAGCATTCATCGTAAACTCTAATAAACTTTCGGACTTTACAGTTGATGTGGCCCCACCATTTCGAAGTGAGTTGGTCACAGGTACGGTACAAGGCGTCCTTGTTCATCGCCGCAAAGAACTTCTTCTCGATACGATCCCACATTGCATGCTTCATTTGCTCCGAACCTTTAAAAAATACTTGTAACGCCCCAAATTATACCCTAAAACTTTTAATGAATAAATATTTAATTAGTCAAATTTGTTTCGGTTAAAATAAATTATTGTTGGGTTTTGGGCCGAAATGAAATGTGTTTTGACATCCAATATCACAAATCAAGATAAGTCTCATAAAGATAAATC